TTTCTCTGGTTTCTCTCTGGTCTCTCTCTCTGGTTTCTCTCTGGCCTCTCTCTGGTCTCTCTTTCTGGTTTCTCTCTGGCCTCTCTCTGGTCTCTCTCTCTGGTTTCTCTCTGGTCTCTCTCTCTGGTCTCTCTCTGGGCTCCCTCTCTCTGATCCCTCTCTGGTCTCTCTCTCTGGTCTCTCACTCTAGTCCCTCTCTCTGGTCTCTCTCTGGTTGCTCTCTTTGGTCTCTTTCTGGTCTCTCTGTGGTTTTTCTCTGGTTTCTCTCTGGTCTCTCTCTCTGGTTTCTCTCTGGCCTCTCTCTGGTCTCTCTTTCTGGTTTCTCTCTGGCCTCTCTCTGGTCTCTCTCTCTGGTTTCTCTCTGGTCTCTCTCTCTGGTCTCTCTCTGGGCTCCCTCTCTCTGATCCCTCTCTGGTCTCTCTCTCTGGTCTCTCACTCTAGTCCCTCTCTCTAGTCCCTCTCTCTGATCCCTCTCTGGTCTCTCTCTCTGGTCTGTCTCTCTGGACAGCACAAATATATATATTTGGGAAAAGTAACTTCAAAGTAATGCAGTAGCGTAATTCATTAAAATTCAGAGACAGTGATATTGTAGTAACTCGAAACAACAGTAACAAAAGTATGACATCATGAATTACCCAGCATGCCCCTCACTCCTCTGATCTGACTGTGTTAAAACGAGATTCTCCAATGGGACAAACTCATTTAAGGAAGACATTTCTTTTTATCTTTTTATAACACTATAATTTTTGCTTGGTCCCATTGGCAGATCTTGTTTTAAGGCAGACAGAAGGTGTTCTAAATAATTTGGGCTATTTTGGACGTATTTTTCATTCTTTTTTGCAGTGCAACATGAAGCGTCTTTTCCTGTAATAATCTCAGTTTGTGACGGAGTGAACTGTGAGTGAGGGCCGCGATGAAAGTGTTTAACCTTTAGTAGGTTTCATCAGAGCCTCAAGGCCAGAGGAAGACTTACTGTCACACACACACACACACGCACACACAAACACACACACACACACACACACAGAAGGGCAGCCGGGTGAAATACTGACCACAACAACTAGGACCAGTGCAGATTGGACCAAGACTTCTCTGTTTGAAAATACAGTATATTCCTGTTTAAGCTTGAGTACCTAACTTCAGTTTTTATTTTTAATTTATCTTGTACTTAATATTTGTTAGTCACTATTGTGTATTCAATCGTCTGCTGTCCCTTTGTGATTGTGATTTCTTTCTTGTCTATTGTCCGTTGACTGAGAGCGGTAAATGCTCCATGTACTGAAGAAACATGGAGAGGGTATGACACCACTGCCAACTTACCAAGACACGGCAGTCAGGATACAACATTTAGAACATTTCAATGGGAATTTTCAATCTAAAATGATGAATGTGTAATATGTGGTTTGGGGTGGGTCTGGTGGGGTGGGTCTGGTGGGGTGGGTCTGGTGGGGCGGGTCTATTGGGGTGGGTCTGGTGGGAGATGCGGTTGACGGGTCATGGGCGATTGTTTTTGACCAAACTGTAAAACACTTGTAAAAATTTGAAAAATTGATAAACTTGAAAAATGTGTTTGAAAATACCTCTCTGGTCTCTCTCTCTGGTCTCTCTTTAGTCTCTCTCTGTTTTTTCTTTGGTCTCTCTCTGGTCTCTTTTTGGTCTCTCTCTGGTCTCTCTCTGGTCTCTCTCTGGTCTCTTTTTGGTCTCTCTCTGGTCTCTCTCTGGTCTCTCTCTGGTCTCCCTGCTCTCTCTCTCTCTAGACTCTCTCACTTCAGCAGTAGTAAGTTCATATGGTTGTACACTTGGGTCCCTCTAGTCTCTCTCAGATGGTGCGCAGGGGTCTGAGATGAGGAGGGCCGTCCTGACCTTGCTGGACCCAGACCCCTAACCCCCTCCCGCTGTGACCCACTGACCCAATCACAGCGCAGATCACAGCGACAGTGGGCGGGGCTGACCTTCGGAGGCTTTACGACTGGGACGTTCCTCACGCGGCGGACAGGTGCACCGGCCGGTCCCAGAGAAACCGCTACATTTACACTAAGGCTGCGCACATTTGGAAAAAACACAACTTGACGTGAGTTAATAATAATACAAATATTTTTGTTTTTATTCCACCGATAACAAGACCGACTATACTTGTTCCTTTGACAAATATCAGAGAGAGAGACATGAAAGAGACCAGAGAGAGCCAAAAGAGAGATCAGAGACTTATTCTGTAAACAAATCTTAAAAACAAACTCAAAAAAAGTAATATTTAATCCATTTTCTTTATAGCAGCCTCTGCGATTTGCTCATTGCGACCACAAAAATACCTATTTCCGTGAAGAAGAGACAATCCACCCTGACTCAGCCAATCGGCTCTCTGCCCAAAGAGTCAAATAGTGACTCACAGGACTAATTTTTACACAAGATACTTTTTTTTTTTTTTTATTAGATGAAGACAGCGTGTTGTCCTGTGAGCCAGTATTTCTCTCTGGTCTCTCTTTGGTCTCTCTCTGGTCTCTCTCGGGTCTCTTGACAGAGGCCAAATATACATGTTAAATCCATCCATCCTTTTTCTTCCGCTTCATCCGTTGCCGGGTCGCGGGGGCAGCAGTCGAAGCAGAGACGCCCAGACTTTCCTATCCACACACACTTCCTCCAGCTCGTCCGGGGGGACCTCAAGGCGCTCCCAGGCCAGCTGAGAGACATAGTCCCTCCAGCGTGTCCTGGGTCTTCCCCGGGGCCTCCTGTGGGACGTGCCTGGAACACCTCCCCAGGGAGGCATCCAGGAGATACCGGGACAGATTATTTTTGTCTGAAAATTAGGTGCCTCATCTTTAAATAAATGAGACTGGGGAGGAGCCTTCAGTGTGCTGTGAGGAGAAGGGCCACGTCTTCCCAATCCCAGTCCCAGTGCCAGTCACAGCCCCAGTCCCGGCCCAAGTCCTGGCCCTAGTCCTGGCCCCAGTCCCTGCCCCAGTCCTTACCCCAGTCCCAGCCTCAGCCTCCGCCCAAGTCCAAAGCCTTTTATCTCCTCTGGATGCTCAGACTTTAATGACATCATCAAAGCGCTCACGATGCATCCGTCTCCTCCACTTTCCCTCCCCCCAAACAAACTGCCGGACGTCCGCGGGAGAGGGGGGGCGTTTGATTTATTCGCCAGCACTTCCTCCTCAGATCATCAGCGTAAATCAGGCCACAATGTTTAGAGCTGGAGGACGTTAACAAGAGCCCACGTCCAAACAACATGTACACACAGGGACACAGGGAAGAGGAAAGAAGGGGGAATAGTCTGTTTGGCAATGGTCTGTTTGGGAATGGTTCAGTCCACGGGAGAGATGACTCGGGCCTGTTTACTGCTTTGGGGGAAACTTTTGCAGAACAAACTAACGGCTGGCCCTGTAGTTTGGGCCTCAGATGACCCAGAGTGACTCTGATAATAAGTACACCCTTGCATTAGTTACAACTTGTTGCTCACCTGTCACAGATCTGGAGTTGTTTTGAGATCCATCCATGCTGATATCAGGAACTTCTGGTGCCAAACATGTAGCTCCGCCCCTTCTGTAGTAGTGTGATGTCATCGTACCACTATGACATCACAGTCAGTGCACCTACCTTAAAGAAGAAATATCATCCCCTATTTTTGTATAGATAGATAATTACACGATTTATATGTCTTTGTCATACTATGTTTTAGAATGTGAAATTATATAAGGCGTAGAGAATATATGGTGGAACAAGCATTAATAAAAAACGCAACTGACCAATATTTCATGAGTCACCACCAGAGGGCGGAGTGGAAATTTGAAAATTACTGGCTGCAAACACATATGTGATAGTAAAGAATTTCACCGTAGAAATGACCAAAACTAATTTAGTGTCAATACGATGTCACAGCGGTACAATGACGTCATACTAATACAGGACTGAGACAGAGGCTTTAAGACAAAAGGGGCGGAGCTACATGGTTGTACCAGAAGTTCCTGATGTGAGAGGGGATGGAGCTAAAAACAACTCCAGATCTGTAACTGATGCTGTAACAAGGTTCAAAATATTTTGCAACAAGTTTCTCTCTGGTCTCTCTCGCCGGTCTCTCACTGCTCTCACCCTCAGCTCTCTCTCGGGTCTCCCTTTCCCTCTGGTCTTTCTCTGGTCTCTTTCACTGGTCTCTCACTGGTCTCTGGTCTTTCTCTGGTCTCTCTCTCTGGTCTCTCTCTCTGGTCTCTCTCTGGTCTCTAACTGCTCTCTCTGGTCTCTCTCTTTGGTCTCTCACTGGTCTCTCACTGCTCTCTGTGGTCTCGCTCTGGTCTCTCTCTCCCATCCTGGGTGTAGTATAACTTTTGAAGACTTTTTTTTTGCAATGTACCCTTTCTTTTTCTCCCTTCTTTTTTAAATGCAACACAGGTCCCAACAACACGCCAACCTTTCCCACTGTTGCCCCGAGTCATGGTGCGTTCAGGGACACGGCCTAGTGGGAAACATGAGTGACCTGTCAATCAAACATCATTCAATCAATACAATCCAGAACTGATCCATCACAGCGACACACGACTCCAATCAATGTGGATTCACTCAGTCCTGTCACAGAATGAGCCTTTGGAATCTTATGCCCCGTGAGTCACTATTGGACTCTTTGGGCTGAGAGCTGATTGGCTGAGTGAGGGTGGTCCTCTCTGTTTCACTGTTTCACTAAGGACACGACCACAGTTTTGCACTTTACAGCCGCAGCCGTCCCACTGTGGCACCTACTGTTCCCAGAGGTCTCCCATCACAGTACTAACCAGGCCCTGCCCTGCTTAGCTTCAGATGTAGTAGTAGTAGAACCATTCTGGCCCTACAGTTACGTTTGACAGTAAAGAGTTAAAACCAGGAGAACCAGGCCGTAATGTGGGGTATTTTCTCGTCTCTGGTCCGACCCCAGGCCTCAGCCAGCCACACCTGCCCCGAGGCGGCCGTAAAGCTGCCGTTAAAAGCGTTGTGAAAGTTTCTCGTGGTTTTACCTGCGTTTACGACCCACTCACACCTCTGCGGTCATTAGTGAGGGGCGGAGTCAGGAAGGGAGAAAACTGTGATGAGAAGAACTGGGGCCGGGGGTTCAGAGCTGCCTCCGTGTTCTGTGGCTGCTGTCGGGGATCACTGCTTTACCATTGATATTAAAGCTGAGGTACGTAACTTTGAAAGTAAAAAAAAATAACACTAATGAAATCCATGCCATTAGTTATTGGCTCCACCATAGTTTGCTTCTAAAAAAAGGAAAAAGGAACATTGTATATTAGAGATCCATGGAAATTAAAAGAGGAAATAACAGGCCTCTTTTAAATTGAGGCTGTAGATCCAGGACTGAGGTTGTAGATCCAGGACTGAGGCTGCAGATCCAGGACTGAGGCTGCAGATCCAGGACTAAGACTGCAGATCCAGGACTGAGGCTGTAGATCCAGGACTGAGACTGTAGATCCAGGACTGAGGCTGTAGATCCAGGACTGAGGCTGTAGATCCAGGACTGAGGCTGTAGATCCAGGACTGAGGCTGCAGATCCAGGACTAAGACTGTAGATCCAGGACTGAGGCTGTAGATCCAGGACTGAGACTGTAGAACCAGGACTGAGGCTGTAGATCCAGGACTGAGGCTGTAGATCCAGGACTGAGGCTGTAGATCCAGGACTGAGACTGTAGATCCAGGACTGAGGCTGTAGATCCAGGACTGAGGCTGTAGATCCAGGACTGAGGCTGTAGATCCAGGACTGAGACTGTAGATCCAGGACTGAGGCTGTAGATCCAGGACTGAGGCTGTAGACCCAGGACTGAGACTGTAGATCCAGGACTAAGGTTGTAGCTCCAGGACCATCAAACGTCTACGGTCCAGGGTCCAGCGAGAGCGGTGCATGCTGGAACTGTGTGACATCACCTCCTCGGCGTCGGCTCCTTTTGTCGTAATGGTTGTTTTTGTTTTGAAGTCGGACAAAGTGCCGCGTGACAAAGTGTTGTGTGTGTGAACAGGAAGCAGACGTCCATGTTTACCGCAGGCCTGTCATTACCACGGCGACAGGCCCCGCCCACACAGTCTCTTTGATCTTCAGAGCCTGACTCACCTGAGCAGGTAGCACTCTCCACAGAAAGTGTCCCATTGTCTCAGAGGGAAAGAGCTAATAATGATCATTACTCCTGCTTCAATGGATCTGAGGATACTCACTTTGGAATTTCATCTTTAGAAACTCAAACCTAAAAGAAATTATCCGTAAAATTTCTATACATGTTGCTTTTCCCGATAGAAAGTAAAAGTGAAACTGTTGGAGTTTGCTGGTCATTTCATTATGTTGTCATTTGAATCAGAAGGAGTTTACTTTGTTCTCAACATGACAAGACTCTTTCTAACGGGTTCATATCAAACTACTCAAAAACAAACTTCTACACATGAAATATAAGGTTAGACACCTTTTGAAATGACAAAGAAAATCCCTAAATGTATATCTAGGCGCCTCCAAGCTATGATCTGTGACCTCTCCTTGTCTAACTCAACGTTGAAGTATTTTGATTAATCCTTTTACCAAACTTAGACTTACTTTTGTCTTGAGCAGCTTTCACACCATCGACACATCAGCGCAGCGTTGATATGTCTTGGAAACACATTCACCAAATCTCAGCGGCATGAGTTTAGAAAATCTTTCTTTCTGCTGCAATGACCGAAACGCAGGGCGGAAGAGCGGGATTCGATGCTAATGAGTTTAAGCTCGTGGCTTTTCATGTAAAGTTCTCTTTCTCTGTGTCCGAGATCCAGCATAGATATATAACAGCAGTATGTGTTCACACATTAGACAGATCTTCTGTATTCAACACATTAGCAGCACTTTACAGTCACAGGAGAAACTCAGACTGGAGGCCTTTATTTTCACACCTGCGGACTGCCCTGCCCAACCCGCCTTGTGGGCTGCACCACCTGGGAGTTACTTCAGTCCTGCACCGGACCTGCCCTCGTTCTATAACGGCTGCGTGGACTTGGTCCTTGTTCTGTAGCTTAGGTCCTGGATCTACAGCCCGTCCGTCCGTGTGGAGCTGATCCCTCTCTCAATATGGACTGTGGTGATGATCCAGGACACTTTACCATTCTACAACATTCATGGACATTGGTCTCTCCTTATGGACCAATACACATGTGTTCCATATTTTTGTGTCTTAACTGTTGATTCTCTGATCTGTGTTGGTAATTTCTATGGTTTTGTTAAGACCTCTGAGATGACTGCAGTTGTGATTTAGGGCTATACAAGAATAAAGTGAATTGAACTGTGTCCCCCACTGTCAGCCCTGGTTTAATTCTGGTTTAGTCCTGGTTTAGTCCTGGTTTGGTCCTGATTTGGTCCTGGTTTAGTCCAGGTTTAGCCCTGGTTTAGCTGTCTTCGTCTTCTTGCTCTGACCGGCCCGAGGCCCAGTGACCACTTCGCTGCTCTCTGATTGGTTGCCGTGTGTGCTTCCAGCGGAAAATATTTAGCATTGTTCATCTTCTGTGTTCTTTGCATAGATCAAGCCGTCGTACCCACCGTCTCTGCCAGACCTCAACAACAATGTCTGCCGCCGTACAAGCCACACTCGCAAATATGACACAGCATTGAAACTCAACTCATGGTCCGGTCTGAACGTCACTTTAGTCACGACATTCTGAAAGCTATGCTACTGTAGCTTTGGTGTGAATCCAAAACAGAGCCCGTTGTAAAGCTCGCTACAGCCTGAACAAGTCGGCTGAACTAAAGTGGCCCCCTCACTAAAAAGTCTGGACACCCCTGGCTGTACAGTGTGAACATTATTTTTGGAGCTTGGGCAGCGGGACCACAGAGACGCATGTGAAAGTGTGTGTGAAATAAGAGCCTTGTAAAACACGTGTGAGACGGAGACAGAGTGTGGAGGACGGGGCACAGCAGCACAGATTTCCCCCAGGACCAGTGACCTTCTGCTGGGTATAACACTACAACCACAGCCTGGTCCTCCATCAGTGTGAGGGACTGGACCAGACACTGCCAGGGCGGGGGTTCATCCATGGATACAGTAGATAGATAGATTCATAGATACAGTAGATACAGTAGATATATTCATAGATAGATACTTTAATGGTTTACAGCAGGTCTCTGGTTCACTTCCATCTCCAGACCATGGACTGTATACAGGTGGACAACATTAATCCTCTGGCTCAATTAATAAAGTGCTCATGGACAAAGTTTGGCTCTGGTTCCCACTTACTTCAGTGGTTTAGCACTCTCTATGAGCCTGGTGCTTATGTTGTGATATTCAGCCATCCATTTTCTTCCACTTTATCCGTTGCCGGGTCGCAGAGGCAGCAGTCAGATTAGAGACACCCGGGACACACACACACTTCCTCCAGCTCATCTGGGGGAATACTGAGGCGTTCCCAGGACACGCTGGACGGACTGTGTCTTCCCCTGGTCTCCTCCTGGTGGGGCATGGACCATCTCCCCAGGGAGGCGTTCAGGAGGCTTCCCAAACAGAGGCCCGAGGCTCAAAATGAGATAGTGATCCGCTCCCACGGACGGACAGGCTGTGTGTGGGTGTGTATATATGTGTGTGTCTAGGGTGTGTGTGTACTGTATACTTGTGTATATATACATGTATATGTGTGTGTGTGTGTCTGTGTCTGGTGTGGTGTGCATGTGTGTATATATGTATACTGTATGTGTGTGTGTGTGTGTGTCTGTGTCTGGTGTGGTGTGCATGTGTATATATATGTATACTGTATGTGTGTGTGTGCGTGTGTGTGTGTCTGTGTGTGGTGTGCATGTGTGTATATATGTATACTGTATGTGTGTGTGTGTGTGTGTGTGGTAAGGTGTGCATGTGTGTATATATGTATACTGTATGTGTGTGTGTGTGTGTGTCTGTGTGTGGTGTGGGGTGCATGTGTGTATATATGTATACTGTATGTGTGTGTGTGTGTCTGTGTCTGTGTGTGGTGTGGTGTGCATGTGTACTGTATATATATGTATACTGTATGTGTGTGTGTGTGTGTCTGTGTGTGGTGTGGTGTGCATGTGTGTATATATGTATACTGTATGTGTGTGTGTGTGTGTGTGTGTGTGTGTGTGTGTCTGTGTGTGGTGTGGTGTGCATGTGTGTATACACTATATGTATACTGTATGTGTGTGTGTGTGTGTGTCTGTGTGTGGTGTGGTGTGCATGTGTGTATATATGTATACTGTATGTGTGTGAGTGTGTGTGTGTCTGTGTGTGTGTGGTGTGGTGTGCATGTGTGTGTGATCCCCGCTCTCACCTTCACTCTTTACCACATTAACAGGGCTACTGTTACTGGAATGTGACACACCCACACACACACACACGCACACACACACACACTGACACACACACAGTTGTCTTTCGCACCTCACATTTATGTTCCTAGCCTTCTGTATTCTTCTCATCACGCCGCCACACGTCACAAAAGTATTTACTTAAAGCTGAGGACCAAAGTTTCCCTGATAAATAATACTTCTTTGTCTCAACAGAAAGTTTAAAGATGCAGAAAACACTTTCACAAAAGTTTCTGATATGAATCCATCCTTGTCACTTATGCATCAACAGTGAGTTCTATAGTTCTATGAATACAGTCAACTCACATTGCACAACGCAAAAATATTTTTCGAGAATATTTTAAATCTCACTTTTTTCCCTTCTGGTCTAAGCACAGAGGTTATGATCCATTCAACGTCATTTATGAACATTGGGTTTTCTGCCTCGTCAAGATTTTCCAACAGGACACAGCCATTTTTTCTCATTCCAAGGGAGACATTTCTTGTATTATTTTAAAACAAGATCATTTTGCTTTGTCCCATTGGCCAATCTTGTTTTAAAGGAGCAGTATGTAAAAATCTGGCTAAAAGTGGTACTGCAGCCTCTCCCACTCTCCCTGACTCAGGTTGCCAGATATGCAGAAGAATCCAGCTGGGACCATAATAACTGAATAGACAAGAGTTTTGTCAACAACAAATCTATAACCAACAACTTTTTCACAAAGATAGAAATCCTGGTTTAATTCCTTGTTTATCGTTAATGATGTGAGAATCATAACGAGACCTTTTTCAGTTCTGCGCCACATGTTAATTTACAAGCGACATTAGCTCAACGCGGTGAGTTCTAGCAACCGGGATCACGGACTTTTTGATTGTTACAACTGTGGAGGGCGGGACATCTAAATGAAAACAATAACAACATGTAGGTCCTCCACAAAACTAACATATCAATCAATTCCAATAGCTCTGAACCACTGTTTTCAGTTAAAGACGCATTGGAAAAGAGCATGTTTTATTAATGCCTTTTGACAGATTATGATCAAAATCTTACATATTGCTACTTCGTCAGTCAGAATGTGCTCAAGTTAAGTACTGAAACTGATTCCATACTTTCTGTTACATTTAGAACAGAAAGGTGGTAAATGGACGGCCCAGGCTCCATCTCCTGCCCTGTCCCACTATGCGGAGCGTGTGTGTGTGTGTGTGTGTGTGTGCGTGTGTGTGCATGTATTTGATGGTGGCGGCGGTGGCTCTGACGGTCCGTGTGATGGGTCCAGGGTGTCGTCTTCACTGAGACATGTGCTGCGTCCCTTTGTGACGGGGCCCAGGGCAGCTGCGGCGGCAGGTGGAGACAAAACTCAAGAATCTCATCTTCTGACTCCGCTGTTATCGGCATGTATTCTGCGAAATGGACTTTAGCTTCATGTGACATCACAGCATTCCAAAGAGCCTATAGCTTCACATTGTGGTGGAGGGCAGCTGAAACATCTTCCCTGGTGAGGCCGGTAAGGGTCAGGAGTCGGACACTGGTCTTTGTTCAGATTCATCCATTGTGAGATCAATAAAGTTTTATTTTGTCTTATCTAGATTCATGTTATTTTCCATTTGCAGTAAAACCACATTGGAATACATGAAAAAGTCCCCAGTGTGACCAGACAAGTACAGGAATACAACAAGCTATTAAAAGAAAGGAAGAAGCTGGAACAGAGTCATTGATCACTCTCAGTGCTGGATTTAAGAGTCTCTCTCCGGTCTCTCTCTCTCTGGTCTCTCTGTCTAATCCCCATCTCTTGCTCTGGTCTCTCTCTCTGGTCTCTCTCTCTGGTCTCTCTCTCTGGTCTCTCTGTCTAATCCCCATCTCTTGCTCTGGTCTCTCTCTGGTCTCTCTCTCTGGTCTCTCTCTCTGGTCTCTCTCTCCGGTCTCTCTCTCCGGTCTCTCTGGTCTCTCTCGGATCTCTCTCTGTTCTCTCTCTCTCTGGCCTCTGTCTCTCTCTGGTCCCTCTCTGGTCTCTTTTTGGTCTCTCTCTGGTCTCTCTCTCTGGTCTCTCTCTCTGTTCTCTCTCTGTTCCCTCTCTGTTCTCTCTCTGATCTCTCTCTGGTCTCTCTGGTCTCTCTCTCTGGTCTCTCTCTCTGTTCTCTCTCTGGTCTCTCTCTCTGGTCTCTCTCTCTGGTCTCTCTCTCTGGTCTCTCTCTCTGTTCTCTCTCTGGTCTCTCTCTCTGTTCTCTCTCTGGTCTCTCTCTGTTCCCTCTCTGTTCTCTCTCTGGTCTCTCTCTGGTCTCTCTCTCTGTTCTCTCTCTGGTCTCTCTCTCTGTTCCCTCTCTGTTCTCTCTCTGGTCTCTCTCTGGTCTCTCTCTCTGTTCTCTCTCTGGTCTCTCTCTCTGTTCCCTCTCTGTTCTCTCTCTGGTCTCTCTCTGGTCTCTCTCTCTGTTCTCTCTCTGGTCTCTCTCTGATCTATCTCTGTTCTCTCTCTCTGGTCTCTGTATCTCTCTGTGTTCTCTCACTGTTCTCTCTCTGTTCTCTCTCTGGTCTCTCTCTGTTCCCTCTCTCTGGTCTCTCTCTCTGTTCTCTCTGGTCTCCTCTTTGGTCTCTCTCCTTTCTTTGACTGTGATGTCACCAAACCACAGTCCCAGAACCAACAAGTAAAGTTTCAATGATGCGATGACAAAATTGAAGCAGGATGTTAGAGTTTGTGGTAAATTCTCTGCGTTTCCGCAGAAAGAAAAGACAATTCAAAGATAATTTTTTTTTGAGCTAATTTCTCTGTAATTCCGGGACTGGTCCATATGACTCACACAGTCCCACATGGCCAGCACACACACTGCACAGAAAGGTTGCAGGCTCAATCCTGTGTTGTCCTGGTTTCCTCCAGGCGCTCCAGTTTCCTCCACCACCCACAACATCCACAACAAGACAAATCCTCCAGCTCTTGTTCAAACCATGAGTAACATCTGGAACTGGGTACTGCTCCAAAGAACGGGTCAAACGCTAGCCAATAGTTAGTTAGTTTAACCAACTCACATATCAATATGTTCAACTCACAAGTTCACTGCAAAAAAGGAAAAAAATACAAGGTAATGCTAAAGTGTTTTTAATCTTATTCTGAACACATTCTGACTGTGTTAAAACAATGATGAGTTCATGACTGCCATACATGTTGTCCTAGAAAGTTGCACATTGTGTCGTCCATAATTTGCAAGTAGCTTTTCATCATGAGTCATGATGTTCGTGTATGATCCTCATGATCATGACAGGTTGATCATTTTATTGTCATTTCACTGCTGTTTCAGTAAATTCATGGTATTCTGATGTGATCCTCATGATCATGATGATTCTTTCACGTGAATTCATTACAGTAAATCATGGATGAAGTCATCCATGAACTACGATAATAATTCATGATCTAGTAATGCATGAATGTATCATGAATTTATGCATCAATTCATGCATTACTTTATTGATATAAAGTGTTACCAACCCTTTTCTATTCAATTTTAGCGCCTAGAAACAGAGTATCAAAACATTATGACCTAAACATGGTACAATCCAACACTAAATAACCACAAACTTCCCGATCGCCCCGGACGGAGGGAGCGGTGACCCACAGAGCTGCCCAGCAACTGTCTCTGTTCCTCTCCGGGGTCTCAGCGCCTGCTTTGGTCACAGCTGGCTGCAGGACCAGATAAATGCTTCTGAAAACAGGGCTATCCATGACACGGAGGCTGGAGAATGTGTTCCGCTGGATTTAACATGTTGTTGGTACAAGCTGACAACTGTGCGCAGAGGCCACGCGCCGCATTGTCACGGAGAAGCCAGGGCCCAGAGGGTTTTGTTCAGGTCGTGGTTTCAGGTTTTTCTCTGTCGATTCTTGCTTGTTTGAACTCACTATTCTCTCTTTCACCTGAGACGTCATTGTTCCGCTAATAATTACATTTAGTATTACAATATTTGTGCTGCAATTCAATATTATTGCATTATATTATTATTATTATATTTTTATTTGTTTTGTGAAGCGTCTGAGTGTCCAAAAGGTGCTCTATAAGTTTGAAGTATCATTATTATACTGTAAGGTCTGATCCTGCAGATTGGAGCCTTCAGACCTGGGGACCGGGCTGGAGATTGGAGCCTTCTGATGCTTTCAAAGGCGTCTCATAAACATGAACTGTATATAGATGGACTCTGCTTACTCCAAGCTCAAAGAAGCCCAACTAGTTTGATATTGTCTTTTTGAATCCAGATATGAGCCATAAGGGCTTCGTTAGCGGGGGAATCTCCAGCTTGCCCTAGCAACCATGTTACACATTAGTTTGTATCAGCCATAGAAAGAGATTTTTGTTTAAATGAGATAGAACTTTCACTTAGTCTGCAGTCCCAATAGAGCCTGCAGAACTTTTGATTAAAAAGAAAAACGCTCTACAAGGACAACTTTTTTCACAATAAAAGTGGCGAGCTACTTCTGAAAAATCTAATAATGGCGAGCAAGCCTGATGGAAAACAGTAGTATTCTGTACAAACGATGTAGTATAATTTATTTGCAGACACATTCAAAGTATGCATTTAAAATAGTTATATATATATATATAGAACTTGGACTTTTGTTGTGTTTTCGAGTGAGTGGTTTTTTAACATTTATAGCACATAGTTGTCTTGGGCACAAAAGGACATCTGGTCAGAGTGGTCTACAGGGGACCCTCCTGCTGTGAGGAGACTCGCCCTGTTCTCTACCCCGAGGCTCTAAGCACACGTCACATTGTTAAAAAAAGACCTCTACCTGTTATTTATGACATCAGCAGAACAGTATGAGGCTAAGTATACTCGCAGTGTTTCCCAACAAGGGGTGCACAGACCTCTTATTACATGATTGAATGCCCCCCTTTGCAAGAGGGGGCAAGGAGGGCATCACCGGGTCAAAAACATAAGTTGTTAAAAAATGTGAGACAGTTGAAAAGGTACGGTTCTCTTCATTCACTCCATACCCAATATAGTGATAAACTTCTACTGTAGCCACACCTGCCCTGGGGCACAGTGACAGAAGCGAGGCAACCAGTCTGTGCCGTCATCCCCGCCAACGATATCTTCTGCCACGGAAAAGAAGCAGGAACATGGCTTTACCAGGGGCCAGAGGAGTCATTGAGCTGGATTTAAGAGTCTGGATTCATAAAGAAGGAGCCAATAAAATCCACCACTTTGTCAAAATATTAATAAACAGCCTCAAACAATATTTATTTTAAATCTGGAGTGTCTGTCTTAATTATTTTTCATAATTATACGCATCATTTGTGGCTTGAAAATCAGGTGCCCGATCACTACAGACGGTCCCCATGTGTTCCCGGACGCTTGCATCTTCAGCGTTAGCATTCCTGAGGTGGCGTGTCTTGGGCTAACGTTACATTAGCGTTCGGCCTGATCTGCGGCGGCGTGTGCGACCTCTGCTATTCCTGTCCGGGGTCAAAGGTCGCCCCTTTTACAGCCTCCAACATCACAACTGAGCACACAAGGAGCCGGATCAGGCCCTGAGTCAAGGTGAAGGCAGGGGGCCACAGCACAGGGGCCACTACACTGCAAAAAGTGATGACGAATAAGTCAAAAAGTGCAAAAATCTGGCACAATCTTGATCTAATTCAGAAAGTATTTAAATTAAGAGAAAAAAAAAATGGGTTCAAGAAATGATTACTTCATATTTGATCATTTTTTGCAGTGAAGCAATTTCTACAGACAGATTTGAAGGATCAGAGACTGAGAGAGATCAGAGAGAGACTAGAGAGAGGCCAGAGAGAGATCAAAGAGAGACCAGAGAGAGATCAGAGAGAGACCAAAGAGAGACCAGAGAGAGACCAGAGAGAGACCAAAGAGAGACCAGAGAGAGAGACCAGAGAGAGATCGGAGAGACCTGAGAGCGGCCAGAAAGAGACCAAAGAGAGAGACCTGAGAGAGACCAGAAGCAAGAGAAACCAGTGAGAGACCAGAGAGAGATCAGGGAACGACTAGAGAGAAACCAGGGAGAGACCAGCGGAAGAGACCTGAGAGAGACAAGAAACCAGGGAAAGACCAGAGTGAGAGACCTGCGAGAGAGTGGGAAGAGATCAGAGAGAGACCAGTGACCAAAGAGAGATGAGAAACCAGAGAGACCAGAGAGAAACCAGAGAGAGACCAAAGATACTTGTTTTATTGATAATGTTTCTCGATAAACTCAAATCAAGAGACAATGTTTGTAAAAGCTTCAGCGACGTCAAACGATCTATTTCTATGACATTCAGTTTCACCGCTGGTTCTGGTTTTCCCCTGGTGCTTCCCTGGTTCTCTCCTGGTTCTCCCCTGGTGCCTCCCTGATGCTCCCCTGGTTTTCCCCTGTTTCTCCCCTGGTTGTCCCCTGGTTCTCCCCTGGTGCTCCCCTGGTTCTCTCCTGGTTCTCCCCTGGTTCTCTCCTGGTTCTCTCCTAGTTCTCTCCTGGTTCTCCCCTGGTTCTCCCCTGCTGCTCCCCTGGTTCTCCCCTGGTTCTCCCCTGGTTCTACCCTGGTCCTCCCCTGGTACGCTCCTGGTTCTCCCATGGTTCTCCCCTGGTTCTCCCCTGGTCCTCCCCTGGTCCTCCCCTGGTCCTCTCCTGGTTCTCTCCTGGTTCTCTCCTGGTTCTCCCCTGGTTCTCCCCTGGTCCTCCCCTGGTCCTCCCCTGGTCCTCTCCTGGTTTTTCCCTGCTGCTCCCCTGGTTCTCCCCTGGTTCTCCCCTGGTTCTCCCCTGGTCCTCCCCTGGTCCTCTCCTGGTTCTCTCCTGGTTCTCTCCTGGTTCTCCCCTGGTTCTCTGAGTGTCAGTTGGACCTCTGGCCTTTTGTCTCGTCTATATCTGCTCTGATTCTTCACCGTGTGGAGGATCTCAAAGCTGAAAGTGGAGACAGCAGCTGGACTTTTAGAGCCACAGACCCCGCCCCCTCCACAGACCCCGCCCCCCTCCACAGACCCCGCCCCCTCCTGCTTTATGAAGGTGACTGACCTTTTAACCATGTTCTAATTGTTTTCCTTCTAAAGTCCTTCTGAAGTGGTTTTGGAGCGACTCGTGTTGTTGGAGCTGAACAGAGACACAGAGATGGAACTGAACCATGTTATTTAAATGGCACAAAGCGTCGCTGAACAAACACAATACTGTTGGTTTATTCTGTGTGTTTGTAGTTATTGTAGCCTTCAGTTTTCCTAACGGTTCGTCAATGGACCCAGTATCCATGTTTCTATCTCTGGTCGCGATCTGGTTTCACTCTGGTCGTTCTCTGCTCTCTCTGGTCTCTCTCTGGTCTCGCTCTGGTCTCGCTCTGGTCTCGCTCTGGTCTCGCTCTGGTCTCGCTCTGGTGTCCCTGGTTGCTCTGGTTTATCTCTGTATTGCGCTGGTCTCTCTCGGATCTCTTTGGTCTCTTTCTGGTCACTCTCTCTCTGGTCCCTCTCTGGTCTCTCTCTGGTCTCTCTCTCTGGTCTCTCTCATCTCTGGTCTCTCTCTCTGGTCTCTCTCTCTCTGGTCTCTCTCTCTGGTCTCTCTCTCTGGTCTTTCTCTTTGGTCACTCTCTCTGGTCTCCCTCTCTTGTCTCTCTCTCTGGTCTCTCTCTCTGGTCTTTCTCTTTGGTCACTCTCTCTGGTATCCCTCTCTTGTCTCTCTCTCTGGTCTCTCTCTCTGGTCTTTCTCTCTGGTCTCTCTCTGGTCTCTGTCTCTGGTCTCTCTGGTCTCTCTCTGGTTTCTCTTTGGTCTTACTCTAGTATCTCTCTCTAGTCTCTCTGTGGTCTCTCTCTGGTCTCTCTCTGTGGTCTCTCTCTGGTCTCTCTCTCTGGTTTCTCTCCCTGGTCTTTCTCTCTGGTTTCTCTCTCTGGTCTCTCATTGGTCTCTCTCTGGTCTCATTCTGGTCTCTCTCTCTGGTCTCGTTCTGGTCTCTGTCTCTGGTCTCTCTCTGGTCTCCGCGCATGACCTGAAGCATACACCTATTAAACTTGCACAAACGTTTTCCTTGAACAGTCAGGACTTGGGACCTTATCACACACACACACATAGATACACACACACACACACACACATAGATACACACACATACACACACACAAATACACAAAAATACAAATATAGACCTCTCAAACACTAATAACTCTCACAGTGAGTCCTTCCCTCTCCCTCTCTTTCTCTCTCTCCCTCTCCCTCTCTCTCTCCCTCTGTCTCTCTATCTCCCTCTCCCTCTCTCTCTCCCTCCCTCTCCCTCTCTCTATCTCCCTCTCCCTCTCTCTCTCCCTTCCTCTCCCTCTCTCTATCTCCCTCTCCCTCTCTCCCTCTCTTCTCTCTCTCCCTCTCTTCTCTCTCTCACTCCCTCTCTCTATCTCCCTCTCCCTCTCTCCCTCTCTTCTCTCTCTCCCTCTCTTCTCTCTCTCACTCCCTCTCTCTCTCCCTCTCTCTCTCTCTCTCTCCATCTCTCTCTCTCTCTCCATCTCCCTCTCTCTCCCTCTCTCTCTCTCTCTCTCTCTCTCTCTCTCTCCATCTCCCTCTCTCTCCCTCTCTCTCTCTCTCCTCTCTCTCTCTCTCTCTCTCTCTCCCTCTCTCTCTCTCTCTCTCTCTCTCTCTCTCTCTCTCTCCCTCTCCCTCTCTATCTCTCTCTCTCTCCCTCTCCCCCCCTCGCTCCCTCTCTCCCCCTCTTCTCTCCCCTCGTTAGCACAGATTTCCTGACGTGGTGAGGATGCGTGCGTCTGAATGTGGTGGAGGTGTGAACGAGCCGAAAGCTGAAACATGAGCCGCGCGGTGAAAGTTCAAAACAGAGGCTTCGTTTGAACAGTTCTGACTGAGCCATGAACCCACGAAATAACATTTACCGACCCCGGACCAGCAGCTGCAGGACCAGCAACACACCAGGAATAAGCCTTGGCTAAAGCAGGACTAAAGCAGGACTGAAGCAGGACTAAAGCAAGTTTAAATCTGGGCTAAAGCTGGACTAAAGTTGGACAAAAGCAGGACTAAAGCTGGTCTGAGGCAGGACTAAAGCAGGACTAAAGCAGGACTGAAGCAGGACTGAAGCTGGACTAAAGCAGGACTAAAGCTGGACTGAAGGTGGACTAAAGCAGGACTAAAGCAGGTCTAAAGCAGGACTATAGCAGGACTAAAGTTGGACTAAAGCAGGACTAAAGCTGGACTAAAGCAGGCCTGAAGCAGGACTAAAGCAGGTCTAAAGCAGGTCTAAAGCAGGACTATAGCAGGACTAAAGTTGGACTAAAGCAGGACTAAAGCAGGTCTAAAGCAGGACTATAGCAGGACTAAAGTTGGACTAAAGCAGGACTAAAGCTGGACTAAAACAGGACTGAAGCAGGACTGAAGCAGGACTAAAGCAAGTCTAAATCTGGGCTAAAGCTGGACTAAAGTTGGACTAAAGCAGGACTAAAGCAAGTCTAAAGCAGGACTAAAGCTGGACTAAAGTTCAACTGAAGCAGGTCTAAAGCAGGGCTAAAGCAGAGATTAAAGCTTGACTAAAGCAGGACTGAAGCAGGACTAAAGCAAGTCTAAAGCAGGACTAAAGCTGGACTAAAGCAGGACTAAAGCAGGACTAAAGCTGGACTAAAGTTGGACTAAAGCAGGACTAAAGCAGGACTAAAGCAGGACTAAAGCTGGACTAAAGTTGGACTAAAGCAGGACTAAAGCAGGACCAATGTTGGACAAAAGCAGGACTAAAGCTGGTCTGAGGCAGGACTAAAGCAGGATCAAGAACCGGACTAAAAACAGGTCTAAAACTAGTCTAAAATGCACCCTAAACCAGCACATGTGTTCTCTGGGACTGATATCATTCACATTGATTCACACAGCTTCAGGTATTCTACATGTTTAGCTTTTGTCTTCCCCCAAACCCCCAAACCAGGACCTCTGACCGCTCAGCTGCTGCCCGCTGAGCTTTGAGCGTCCGCCACTCGACAGGTGATGTGCCGAGGTATGTCCCAGAGAGGGGGGGGGGGTGAGGGGGGGGGGGTCAGGGCCACACTCCGGGTCAGGGCCAGGCCAAAACACTTACACGCCTTTGTCACTCTCACTCACATGAACAGGCATCAACCGCTCGGACAAAATATCTGATTTTAAAGCTGGGGAACCTAAATGTAGAAGTAATACTGTATATGAGAGCCCTGTGAGTCACTGTTGGACTTTTTGGGCTGAGAGCTGATTGGCTGAGAGGGTCCTCTCTTTTTCTCTTTTCTGTCTGGTCCATAGATGGGACAGGTGTTGAAAAAATAATTTATATGGGTTTTATTACATGGTTCCATTTTTTGTGGTTTGAAACTGGAGAGACCAGGTCGAGACCAGGTCGAGACCAGGTCGAGACCAGAGAGGGATCAGAGAGAGACCAGAGAAAGACCAGAGAGAGACCAGAGAAAGACCAGAGAAAGACCAGAGAGAGACCAGAGAGGGATCAGAGAGAGACCAGAGAAAGACCAGAGAAAGACCAGAGAGAGACCAGAGAGAGAGACCAGAGAAAGCCTAGCCTGGTCGTACCACACCATAGTACAAATGACATTTCATACTAAGGTCTGGATTTGCTCCATTGAGCTCCGTTTACAGGTGGGAGGGGTTAACTCCTTTTGCAGATTGAAACGATTGGATCAGAGTTTACCGTGACGTATGTAGTCGTTAGCATCTAGCATTTAGCCTAGCCATCTCTTTTGCCGCTAACGGAGCCCGTGGGGAGTAGAGCCACAATTTTTTCCAATGAAAACATTTGCTCCGGCTTCAATTTCCTGATAGAACCAGACCAGAATACTTTACCATCGCATTTTTTGCCATTAACAAACTACGACCTTCCCGTTTGACGCAAACTCTTGACGTCACCCACAATTAACTGCAACAGCAGCCTTCCGCGCTCTCTGATTGGTCAGTCGAAATTCACGCGATTGTAATCGCTAACTCAGGGACTAGACCCAGACGTTACATAAGATAAGATATACTTTATTTGTCTCAGTCTTCCACTGAAGGAGCTCCTCAGCTCCTCTACAGTCCTGTGCAGTGGGAGGTGTTGTTCATGATGGAGGTGGCTTTGACTAGCACCCTCCTGTCCCTCACCTCCTCCACAGAGTCCAGGGGCCTCCTGTCCCTCACCTCCTCCACAGAGTCCAGGGGCCTCCTGTCCCTCACCTCCTCCACAGAGTCCAGGGGCCTCCTGTCCCTCACCTCCTCCACAGAGTCCAGGGGCCTCCTGTCCCTCACCTCCTCCACAGAGTCAAGGGGCCTCCTGTCCCTCACCTCCTCCACAGAGTCCAGGGGCCTCCTGTCCCTCACCTCCTCCACAGAGTCCAGGGGCCTCCTGTCCCTCACCTCCTCCACAGAGTGGAGCTGGCCCTCCTGACCAGCTTGTTCAGTCTGCTCCTGTCCCGCTCTGTCCTGCCCCAGTGAAATGATGATTGAGAAGAGTGTATGGATGGCTAGGGCCGGGCTAGAGAAAGACCAGAGAGCGACCAGAGAATGACCAGAAAGTGGGACCAGAGAGAAACCAAAGAGAGAGACCAAAGAGACACCAGGGAGAGACCAAAGTTAGACCAGAGAGACCAAAGAGAGACCAAAGAGAGACCAGAGAGACCAGAGAGAGAGAGCAGAGAGAGAAATCAGAGATGGCCTTGTGTTACACTTCAATCGCAGCACACGTGTTCACATGTGTCTTGTTCAATTTAATTAAATTAGACGAGGAGAGAGATCCTTTCACTCATGGTTTGTAGATTCACCGTGGTCGCCTCTCTCCTCCTGATCCTCACCACATCTCTCCCACCTACACCACAGTCAATGTACTTATTCTGTCATTTCTGTTGTTTTTGCAGGCCTCGTCCCTCTGCTGTCCTGTGTGTGTGTGTGTGTGTGTGTGTGTCCTGTGTGTGTGTGTGTGTGTGTGTGTGCGTGTGTCCTGTGTGAGTGTGTGTGTGTGTGTCCTCTGTCCTCTCAGCTGTCCCCTTTACATCTTTGTAACACTTTTGTGTCGTCTAGAGGTGAGCAGCCCTCGTTTGTG